TGCCGTGCCAAGGCCGCCGTAGCCGTTGAAATTAATGAGTTTATACTCTACTCTGTCTGATTCAAAAGGGAGAAGTGCTCTGGAATCTTGAGATCGATTCATCTCCTGGTGAAAAATTTCGAAGTAGTTATCCATTTGTTTTAGTTTTGTTATTGTTGATTTCGTTGTGAGACGAGGAGCGGTCGTATTCTGATTCTTTCGATGCTATAGATTTAAGAAATTGATGTTTTACAAATATACCGATTTCATTCTGGCTCTGAGTTCTTGAGGGTTTTTTTTTTTTCTTTTCCGGGAAAATAGGCGAGAAATCGTGGGAAAATTTTTGTGCGTTGTGAAAATTTGAAGAAAAGAATTTGAAAGAAAGTAGACTTCGCATTCAAAGCACGCAAATATAGTAATTTAATCTGACGTTTGGGATCTCTGTCATTCCACCCGTGACCCCCAAGAAAAGTTATAAAATTACCATTTTATTCCCGTAGTTTTTTGTTTATTTCAATTTAACCCTTATAATCATGGAATTTTCAATATAAATTTTGTGATTTCGTTAAATCTTCCCAAAAAAAAAAAAAACTTTGTTATAAACATATACTTAATTTTTGTAAGGCTGGAATCACTCCTACCAAATTACTTCTATTTTAAGATGAAATGTTTGGCAAAGATTCATTAGTAATTTTAATCACTGGATTCGTCGGGTGATTTTTTTACTAAAAAAAATTAATAAAATATTTGTTTTTAAAATATTTATTTTTATTAATTTTTACAATTATCTTTCCATTTAACAAAAGTTTTGAGATTTTTTTTCACTGTATCACTGTATTTATCATTAATTTTGTTTAGTCTCTCTAATTTTTTCCTCTAAAATTTTTTATCTCTCCAAATTTTTGTCGGTTTATCTCTTTCTAAAATATTCTCAATGATATTTTCGTTTTTCTCCAACTTTTCTCGTTTGTCAAATTCTCCCATTAGACTTTAAATGTTAATTATTCAAAATTACTTTTAATTATATAAAAATCACTTGAAAAAGTATGAAACCAAACATTAAAATAATTATATAAAAATCAATTTTACAAAATCAATTATTATTAATTTTCTAAAATCACTCATAAAATCATTACCATACGGATTTTTTTGGATTCAAACAAAGTATAAGAGTTCATTGAAAATTTTGACTAAATTGAAATTAAGTTCAATCGTAAGGACTTAAATAGCATAGCTCAACAAAAAAAAAAAGTATTTTAACTTCATTAAAAAGAAAAATTAAAATTGAACTCTTAATTGGGTAAGGTGTTTCAATTTAAATTTATCTATTTTTGTGAATTGCTGTGGAGTTGGTCAATATTCATTCATCCAACTTAATTTTATGTAAAGCCTGATTTTCATTGAAATTAACATTAACGATATTTTAGGGATTTTTTACCTTCCTCTTTGCTAAAATTATTAGTGGGTGAATGAAATCTTTATCATATTCTATTTATTGGTTAGAATTTCTTTGTCCCTTGAGAAATCACAAGAGTCAAAAATAAACAAAATGGAAGATGGTTTTTTTTTTTTTACCATGGTGGAGATTTGAACTTACAACCTCTTGATTGGAGATATCTACCAATTACGGCTGAGTTATGCTCGCTTTGGTAAATGGAAGGCGACTTCATGGGGCGACAAAGCAAATTAAAATGTCATAAATATTAATTTAAGGTGTAAATGTCCATTCGTTCTATTTTTATTTATGTCAACTTTTAGTTCTAGAATACCTACATGTTTTAAACCCACAGTGTTTATGGATTGAGTTTACTTGAGTTAAAAAGAAGTTTTTAAATCAAATTTAGTTCTAAAAGCACTCTTTGCTGGTTTATTTATTCATTTGTTTAGTTGAATAGAAAAGTTCCAACCTCTGGCCATTGGAAAGGTAATTAATGTTATGACTTATTAACTATTTTCATGTTGGCTCTCTGTTAGTATTCTAGTTGGCAGAAATTAGATAGTATCAAGATAAAATAATTTAGAGTTCATTTTGGTAACATTTGTGTTTTAGTTTCTGGTTTATCATTTTCAATTTTTGAGAAATATGGACGTTTGGTAATTGTCCCTATTTCTTATTTTTGAGAAATGTTTCCCAAGTTATGTAGAAATTTTAGAAACAAGAAAATCGTGTTCCTGTTTCTAGCTTTATCCAAAACATAGATTGTTGACAGTGAATTCTGGAACAGGCCACGTGTCCTTCGGATGAGTAGCTTTGTCGGAGAACAGAAAGACCTGTAACCAAAAACTCGACGCCGGTGCGGTATCCCGCCTAAAACACTTCAACACTCAAGTCAGTAATCAGAGTAAGAAATAAGAAAAAGGCACTTAGGCCACGTTTATTTAACCGCAATTGTAATAGAAAACAATTGTAATGAAAATCAATCGTAATGAAATAAATCGGAATCGTAATGTTATTCCATTGATGTTGTTTACTATAAACTTTCTAGAATCGTAATCAAAATTCCTTTGATGTTGTTTACTAAAACTGTCTGAAATCGGAATCGGAATCATATATATGACAATTACTAATATACCCCTTTCTCCTTTTTAGCCAATTACAAATATATTATTGTGTTAATCTTTTTTAAACTACAATAATAATAAATTTTAATTTAATTTATTACTATATTATTGATAGTAAATATTTCTTATTATAACAATTTATCTAATATTAATACATGATGAATAATTAAAATAAAATTACATCAAATAAAATATTTTTTATTAGAACAACCAAACTTTAATAAAACATATTATTAAGTTTTATTATTCTAATATTTAAAAGTAATAATATCTACTTAAAAAATTTATTGATATGAATTAATATTAATATTATATAATAAAATCACATCAACTCATAAAAAATGGAGAAGAAATGGAGAAGAAATTATAAAAGTATAAAAAAAACTAATTAAAAATTATATGGATCTAGTTGAAAGAGAAACGATAAAAGTGGTACATTAATTATAATAAATAAGTGAGGTCCTAGGAATAAGGAAGAAGAATGAGATTGATGAGGTTGTAGGAGTGTAATGAGATTACAGTGATTACAAAGTTTGAGATGGTCCCACCATTTGATTACATTCCTACAATTTGGTAAACACCATCAAACGGAATCAAAATTTTCATTACATTCATTGATTACGTGGGTAAGTAAACAGGGCCTTAGTGACAGGTTTTTCACTTACTTGGTGAAAGTGAAGGCTCTCCCTTATATAGACTTGGATGGCCGACTAGGAAGGACGACGGTTGGAGATGACAGAGATGCAACACACTGTACGGTGCCTATTGTGGGTGTACGTTCCCAACAACTGGCAGGTGGTGCCACCGCCTGCAGCTCTAAAATTTGTCGCCTGCCACTAGAAGGCGTGTTGCCTGTACTGGAACCGCGCGTCCCCTGCCACCGCTAAATACGATATGTACCCGTATGTGGTCTCACGCCTTTCACAGGTTGACACACGTCCTGCTTGATTTTTACCCTCAACATGGATAAAACAACAATTTATCATTTTTTACTTCTAAATGCACAGGAAATGTCAAAAACTAAATATGACAAAAAATTTTAATATATTTAATTGAAAAAATGTTTTTTCATATAAATTTTTATATTTTTTAATTTAAAATTTTAGACCACAATAAAAAAGAAATTATTACTAAAATATGCTTACGTAGTTTTCAACAGAAAAGAAAAAACAAAAAAAAATAAGAAACCATTATCAAATTCAATTCAATATTTCTCAAATGTTAAAAGAAAATGAGAAAAAAAAATAGAAAAATGAGAAATAAAAAATAGGAACAATATCAAACATGTCCTTAGTATTAATTTGGGAATAGTTCAAATAAAAAAAATTTAACAAACAACATTTAGAAAAGAAATTAAAATGAGAGCACCAATGGAAATGCAACTTAGAAGAAACATTTACCAATTAAAAAATGTTATAATTAGGCTGCTTAATTAATAATAAGAGCTGCCCTTTCCAAACCAAAGATCGAAATTCCTCCATTAGGAAAAAAGAATAATTTAATGCCGGTTTGTTGTGTTGCTAAATATTTGTGGTTGAAAATTTTGACTTTTATTGAAAGGAATATATGCCAATTTCCCACCATGAGAAGAAGCCATGGACCGGAGGAAGAAAAAGAAAAAAAAAAAGATCACCAAATTTCTACCTCTCAATATGGAATTAACAATTTAAAATTGAGTTGTATGAATGGAATTAAGTCACAAGAGTCTTCTAGACGTTCATGGCTATTTTTTCATAAAAAAAAAAAAAAAACATTTAGGATGCCTTTGGCATAAAATATTTTTGGGAATCCTTTTTCTAAAATCGCTTATACATTCTAGTTTTGCTTATATTACAGAAATGATTTTAGTTATGCTAAAAAAGTCGCTTATACATTCTAGTTTTGCTTATATTACAGAAATGATTTTAGTTATGCTAAAATTACTCCCATATTGTTATACAAACAAAAAGTAAAATTTCTCATTAAAATGTTGTGAGTTATAATTCCGCCATATCGTTATAAAAAAAAAAAGTAAAATTTCTCCCGCTTAAGTTTATTTTTTATTTTTTAAGTATCAATTTAATCTCTTATATTTGATATAATTTTCCATTATATCATTTCTATTTAAAAGTTGATAAAGTATTGAGGAGAAAATAGTTGAACATAAATTTAATTTAATTTAAGAGTAATTGACACTTATACCTGACCAAAATATCTATCTTCAACTTTTTAACCGATAACATATGTCTTAATCAAAACTATGTATTATATAATTTTTTCTATAAAAAAATAGAAAGAATATTGAGACCAGAGTTGTATTTTTGAATGGTCAACTTAACTACGGTCAGCACCCCGGTCACCGTGGGCTCGAAGTTGGCCAACTACCGATATCGTACGCAACAAGCCATATTCTTTGATTTCTTGGTTGCTTTTTCACGACGAGAATTGGAACGTCGGATTCCGGCGAAAGACTTCGTCGTGATCGGAGCGGCGGGCGTGGACAGTCGATTTCGATTCAGTAAGTTGCCGATTCATTTTCATTCTCTTGGGTTTTTGAAGATTTTTGGCTCACGGAATACGATTATAGAAAATTCATCAAAAAGTTAATCTACTTCTTCTCAATTTTCTTGAGATTTCTTTTGTGTCTGATGGAGACCTCCGCATCTCCATTTACTTCCTCTTCCTGATTTTTGAATGTTGAAGACAACGAGGTATTTCCGTTCAATTCCTCTTCTGTTCTGTCGAGCGGTTCAGGTAGTTTGAGCTTTGATGCCTTTTGTCTCTGTTGTGTTTCTCCACCGGTTCGGAATTTCTCCTTCTCTCCTCCTCTGTGCTATGGTTTCTCTGTTATGTATTTCTCTTCAATGTCGTGATTCGATTTTAGGGTTTTTTTCCCTTTACTTTTCAAATCGTGGATCGCAATTTCCTTCTGGGTCATACAATTAACGATAGCAACGGACGATTCAACAAAACTGGATTCAGAAGTACGCTTTGGATCATCCACTGGACGACTTATTTCAACTCTACGGTGCAGTTATGTATCGTGCGATTTTAACAACACTTTTGCTCATTTTAGTTGTGTTTTGGTGATAAATGTGCAGTTCACGAATCACAAAGCTTTACCCTTTCATTCCTATGATACTAACATGTTAAGTATAGATTTGGTTGTTGGAGATTCTCGAGAATCTACGTAGATTACTGAATTTGTTCAGCCCTTTCAACTTTACTTTCACAACATGATAATAATATTGATATCCTTACAAGGGTAAGATTAATGTATTGAAGTTATGTAATGATCAGTTCTAATGTGCCTATTTTAAAGTTTAACCTTGGTCTCCTTTTCATGGAGTACTGGAGTGGAGTTACAGCTGATATTCCTTTTTTTTCTTCTTTCCTTGACGAAGTGCAAATCTAAGTTAGATTATGTACATTGAATTATTCATCACCCCCTTTCTTGTTGCAAGATAATTCTGTAAAGCTACCTTTTATCCCTCCTCCCCTTGTATCTTATATTCTGTTAAAATTAAAATAAGTTCACAAACGCCAGTTAGCATTAATTTCACGTTCTATCTACAGTCTATTAACTTCTGGTATTGCAATGCAACAGAACAATTGTTTAGAGTTGTGTTGTTGGACAAGGGAGATTGCTTGAAATTTGAGACTGAATAGACTGAGATGGACAGTGACAATGACTTCACATTTTGTCAGGCAAGTATAACTTTTATGCTGTAAAATTAGGTTGTAAGTTTTCAACTCGACGACATGTTTCCTTCTAGATCCATCTATTTCTTTTCCATTACAGTTTGAATAACGTCTGATTTACAACCTAGTTATAATACTGTTACTGTTGTATAAATATATCAGTAGGTGGGTTTACCGTCCGAGGGTGATGAGAAAGATGATATACGGGCGAAGGATCTTGCATTAGAAATAGGTGATATTACCTTAAGGGAAGAATTGGCGAATGGCACTATTAGTAGTCCGCATGTTGGTTGGAACGATAAGTTGTCAACTGATATCACTTCCAACAAGCAGGCAATGGTGGGTTCTTTGCATTTCAATGTTATTGATATGTCATCTGCAAAACAATCAAGTGCACTGTCAACAGAAGAGATGGCAAAAGATGCTGGAAAGGCCGTGAGAACTTCAGGAAAGCAGGGGACTGCTGCACGTAAGCCTGCAACTCGAACAAAGGTTCCTTTTGAAAAGGGGTACAGCCAAATGGATTGGCTTAAGCTTACTCGAACCCATCCTGATCTTGCAGGTATTTGTGGAAATGGTACCTGATTCTATATTTTGCTTGAGCCTATCCGGTAACTCTTACACTCTTGACTTGGACAATTTTGTATATTTTTGTTTTATGCCCTTTTCTTATGTTGATGTTTGTTTGGTCTGTTACTGTTAGAGAGAGATAAATTCTTTGCAGCTAGTTGGTGCTTGGAATGTTTAGGATTCACCAAAGCTACTGAAAGATCTACTTTATATAAATTAGAACTTCACAGAGGTTTCTCTTGCCATTTCCGGTCTGTAATAGTATTAATATGATAGTTATTATTTATGTTGTAAAATAGGATCATTTTGTTGGTTTCATGATAATTAGTAGTTTAATGCTATTGAACTTCCCCTTGAAAAATAATATGATTTATTTTCAACATATTTTTTTTTATCATTATGAAGGATTGAAAGGACAGTCAAATAAAAGGCTTATCCCTATGAGTGAAGTTAAACAACATCAAACTGAGGGCTCCATGTGGACTGTTCTCAAAGGTCGTGTATACAATATATCTCCATATATGAAATTTCACCCTGGAGGTATGGGCATTATGCAACTTATTCCCTTTATTTATTTATTTTTTTAGTGAGTTTGTTATCCATCGGGTTATAGTTAGCATGTCTCACGTGGTTCTAGCGTTGGTAAAGGAGCAATGATTAGATTAGTTTGTAATGCACGTTATGGTGTCTCGTGTTCAAGAATTGCCTGTCTAGTATATAACTTCTCATAACATGTTATATTTAAGACTTGTTCAAAGTTTAATATTGATAACTTTTGACTCTTGAGAAGCCCTATTTACGTATTGAAGGAAAATTAAAATCTTTGAATGATAATTATTCTGGATTCATGACCTGGGGGCTAGGTAGGAGACTCATAAATACTGGTTTGGCTTCTGCTGGTTGATTCTCATTATTACTTTATACTTTACAGTATTATATGGAGTGCTTCTTGCATTGAATGTTTTTTTCTTTTAATAATGACGGGTGAGAGTTGTAAGAGTACACCATAGTGGAAACTTAGGACTACTTGACCCTTTGAGAAATTTCTTTATCAGGTGCTGATATACTCATGAAAGCAGTGGGAAAAGATTGCACATCTCTATTCAGTATCCTACAAATTTTGCTTCACTTTTAGTTAAAAAGTGGGTAGCTCTTCTCCCTCCATGGAATCCTACATACACCTTGCAAATTTTTTCATGCAAAATTCATCTATTTATGTTATGTATTTCGAATTGGTGCCATAAATTGTCCTTGACAACCTTTAGATAAATACCACGCCTGGGTGAATTCTGAATTTTTGCTGGAGAAGTGTCTTGTTGGCACTTTGGATGATAGTCATTGAAGGGCAGCAACATATCAACAAGAAGTAGGAAGAGGTCCTTAATTATTTTGGGATCCAATGGCTACCGAGGACATAGGAACCTAAATTTCATCTATGATTGTTGTATAACATGTAGCTTTTGACAAAGTCTATAGATGGTGTACTGTTGTCTATTGTATTGAGAAAAGGATAAATTATTTGGTATTGAAATGAGTTCTTTTAAAGTTCTAAACAAAGATAAAGTTGTACTCGAATTTTGATTCTTAATGAGTCAATCTCTTAGAGGTATTATTCTCTTTATTTCTGATAGATTATTCATCTTAAAAACATCATTTTTTAGGCACCCCTAAGGTTTCTAAATACTTCGTATATATAAATGAAGGTATTATCTAGACATTTAAGGTTAGGTCAAGTACAACATGGTTGCACAAACAAACCATTATGAGTTGGCCATTAATTGTTCTTCATGGTTGGATGCTTCCTAAAAAGACTAAATTTATTTAGAAGCGTACTTCAAGAGTTCTTTTGTGGCACCTTTGGTTAAAAAGGAATTTTCGAGTTTTTGAGGATTGAACAATTCCTGACATGTTTTGTAGGAATGTACAATACACTACTTCTTGGTGTTGTATAATTACATGAAATTATTTTGTAATTACAATCTTTCCTTGTTCATGAACAATTAGAAAAAGTTTAATTAGAAAAAGTTTGTTTAGCTTTTTTGGGTGAGGTTTCCTCTACCCCGCCCTTTGCTTGTAACCTTCTGTTTGTATATGAAAGTTTCTTAAAAAAAAAAAAAAGAAAAGAAAAAAGAAAGCTTAAAATGTAAAAGGCTGAGGAAATAGATACAAAATGTAATGGTCACGGTCTATAAACCTATCTAGAATTTAATATCCCACGAAGCTTATATCTAGTAGCTATGCTTTGTGTTGCAAAATATTCATTTCATTTTTTGATTTCATGATAATGAGTAATTTTAATTAATTTTCTACTTGATAGTTATAGATGTTGGGGTTAAAATGACAGTCATAGAAGTCTTTTATCCCTATAAAAGTTAAACAACCATTAGATTGAGGTGCCAAATCGAGCCTAGCTCAATTGGTTAAGACATTTTAGTAGGGAAATATTTGCGATGGAAGTTAGTTCAAGAGCTTTGTCTTTTTCGTTTTGCAGTCCCACCCGAATTATCCTTCGACCTAAAGCCCACAACGAAGTGAGCGGGCCCAAATCTAAGAGCCAAATTTTTCCATCAACACATTCTAAAATATGAAAATTATTATTTTTTAATTAAAAACATTGTTTGCTCTGCTCCATTAGAGCTCTCTTTTGTTTTGTTTTTTATTTTTATTTTTTATTATGCGATATCCATCTTTGAATATTTGTTGTGCATTCCATTTTATAAATCAAGTATGATAAAATAACGTTGCTTTAAGAAAAAGCTGATTGTCCAAACAAAACAAGAAATTGATTTTTTATCTTTTTAATTTCAAAATTTCTATATAATTTAAAAAATGAGAAACTAAAAATAAGAAAAGTTACCGCTCTGGAACTGAAAAACAAGAAAAAAGTAACCAGAGAATATCATGTGAGATAAGCAAAATAATAGAAAACTAAATTGGCTATATTATATTGATTTAAGTGAGAAAGCTCAATTATCGAGTTGAAGCATTGGTTTTAAAATTCGTTATGGGCTAACAAGTGGTGCAAATTAAAAGAGCCGACAAACGACAAGTGGTGGGAAAAAAGGTGACAGTGGCTGCTAACAAATTGGTGGAAAGAAGCAGCCCATGGAATCACTATCATTAAACAATTTTTTATTTGCAGATCTGAGAATGCATATACCCCATTTCCATTTCCATTTCCATTTTCCCTCCTGAAGCTTAAACCATGGCCGAAGCAATTCTGTTCCAAGTTGCTGGTGAGATCTTGATGAAGCTGATCTCTCAAGCTTCCACTCGGCTTGGAATGGGGCGTGAAGTGGAGGATGATCTTACCAAACTCACCAGCACCATCTCAACTATTAAGGATGTACTTCTTGACGCGGAGGAGCGTCAAACTAAAAGTCACTCCCTACAGAATTGGCTCCAAAAGCTAGAAGAAGCTCTTTATGATGCGGAGGATGTGCTTGATGAACTCTCCGGTGAGGCTCTCCGTCGAGAAGTGATGACTAGAGGAAGAAGTGCAAAATAAGTAAGGATCTTCTTCTCCAGATCTAACCATATTGCATTTAATAATAGGATTGCACCTCAAGTGAAGAGTGTAAAGGACAGACTAGATGCTATTGCTGCTGAGAAAAACCTATTTCATTTGCGTGAAAACTATGAACAAAGGACTCAACATGGTTCGTTTGATCAAACTACGACAGGGAACGAAACTTGCTCTATTCCAAATCAAGAGGAAGTGATTGGAAGGGATGATGATAAGAAAAAAGTAAAGGACCTTTTATTGGATATGAATATGAATGTTTCATTCATTGTAATAGCTGGAATGGGTGGGATAGACAAGACGACCTTGGCTAAATCCCTCTACCATGATGAAGAGGTATCAAAATGTTTCAATTCAAGAATATGGGTTTGGGTTTCTGATCAATTTGAGGTTAAAGTAATAGTGAGAAAAATAATAGAATCGGTAACCGGAAGGAATCCTGATGTTGAAGGAATGGAAGCTTTAAATAGGGAGCTCCAAGAAGTAATTGGAGGAAAGAAGTATCTGTTAGTTATATGGATGATGTATGGAAGGAAACTGAAGAGAAATGACATGAGTTGAAACCTTTGTTAATGGGTGGTGCAAGAGGGAGTAAGATTTTGATCACAAAGCGTGATAGTAAAGTAGCTGCAGAAATCAAAAGCATGACTTCTTTGTTCACTTTAGAAGGATTGCAAGAGAGTAATTCTTGGTCATTGTTCAGGAAAGTGGCATTTAAAGAAGGCAAAGAACCTGTAAATCCAAATTTGATAGAGTTGGGAAAAGAGATTTTAGCGAAATGTGGAGGTGTTCCTCTTGTAATAAGACACATAGGACGCTTGTTAGACTTCAGAAGAAGAGTGGATGTCGTTCAAGAAGAACGAACTTTTGAAAGTCATTCAACAAACTGATAAAAACGATGGTTTGACACCTATATTAAACTTGAGCTATAACCATCTCCCACCAAATTTGAAGCAATGTTTTGCTTATCTATCCCTATTTCCCAAAGGGACGAGGTTAGAGATAAAAGATTTGATTAGACAATGGATGGCTCACGGTTTTATAGAATCATCAAATGGAACTGCTAATTCCATGGAAGAGGTAGGAAAGAGCTATTTCAAGGAATTATGTTGGAGGTTTTTTTTTTGGAAATTCTAGTGACGAGTGTAACTTCGACGAAGAGGTTCATATGCATGATGTGATGCGTGAAGTTGCAACGAATGTAGCAGGAGAGAAATATGTACAAGTAAATTCCAATCGTGATCTTGTTGTCAGTGAAAGACATATTTCATTTTGCTCTAAAATAAAATCATGGCGGGACCTCCTATTGAATTTACAGAAGGCAAAAAGATTAAGAACCTTCCAACTTTTTTTGTCATATGAAAATAGGCTTGAGATGAATGAAGCTGTTTTGGATGAACTATTTTCCAGTTTTCCACGTTTGCGAGTATTGGGTCTCACTTTCTCAAAAATTCATGTGGTGCCAAATTCTATAAAAAAGCTTAGACATCTTCGATATCTAAATCTCTCAAGAAATTATATGGAATCACTTCCAAATTCAATTACTAAATTGCAAAATTTGCAAACTCTAGATCTATCGCACTGTTATATACTAAAGAAGCTGCCAAGGGACACCAACAATCTTGTTAGTCTTAGCCATCTTGATATATCATTTCTACCTTATACTTCAGAAATGGAGAAGTTGAATTTTTTACAGATACCAGCTTATTTTGTGTTGGACTGCAGAAGGTGTGATATGTTAAGTGAATTGAAGGTGCCAAACAATTTAAATGGAAAGTTAATAATTAGAGGTTCAGAGCAATTGAGGCATACTGATCAATCTGAAGTGAGCTTAATAAACCTGAGAGACGTTCAAGGCTTCCGAGTGTTGGAACTGGAATGGAAACAGAGCGACAGGAATGATGATGAAGGCGAAGTAAGGGTGATGAAATAGTTATGGAAGGCCTACAACCACACTCAAATGTTGAATCCTTGTTCATTGAAGGGTACAGTGGAGTAGGATTACCCAATTGGTTCTCCACCTCGCTCTCCAATTTAACTGAAATTACAATTGAGAGTTGCCACAGTGTGCAACATCTACCTCACCTTCCTACTCTCCAATGTCTATATTTAAGTAACATGAGATCTCTCAAGTTCATACACAAGAATAATGAACCATGCTGCTTCTTGTCTTTTCCATCTCTCATTGGTATATATTTGAAAAACATGCCTAATTTGGAAGGATGGTGGGAATCAAGAGTAGAAGGAGAAACTCTCCCCATTTTTCCTCAGCTTCAATACCTGCGTCTCCAGCGCTGTCCCAAGTTAAGTTCCATGCCCAAGATAGCTTCCACTCGTCAAGTAACTGTTATTTTACGTGATGTTAGTGTTCAGGTGGTGAGTGCAATAATAGGTCCATTGTTGAATTTTCATGAGATACGACTCGAAGAAATTAAGGATCTAAAAGATCTAGAAATGGAATTTCACCAAAACCAAAACCCGAACCTGGGTTCTTCTTCTTCGTCCATGTCCTCGCAGTCGCTTACACGACTTCGAGTTCTGAAAATAGAAAAATGCTCCAATTTGATGAGTTTACCGGAATGGATTGGCACCATCACTTCGCTTTGGGACCTGAAAATTATAGACTGTCCGAAATTAAAATCACTACCGGAGGGAATGCGACAACTCAAATCTTTGAATTGGCTGACCATAAAGGGGTGCCCACAACTGCAAGAAAGATGCAAGGAGGGAGGAGAGGATTGGCCTAACATTGCGCACATCCTATTTAAAAGATTTACAGGTATATTCTTCACAAATAACTAATAGTTCTTATTATTCCCATTTTATAGGACAGTTTTAAAAATAAATTACAAAAATAATGTTGGTGTAATTTAAATAAATAAATAATGTAGGTTAGGTTTTCAAAACTATTGACAAAAATAGGTTAGGTCAAAATAAGTCAAAACTCGCGTACCAAACGTGTATATCTGACGAGGCAGAAGTCGGGGCCACCTCCACAGCCACAGCATGGAGGAGCAGCTCCTTAATCCGCACTACAACCAATCCACATTTTCTCCAGATCGATATATGATGCTAAACCGAAACCGAGCTCGATCGAGAGGGCAGTCCCTTTGTTGGCTCTTCGAGACAAAAGCACTCATAGGAATTATGCAAATTCCCATGTTCTTTCGAGTCTCGTTTGGTTTCGAGAGCCTCCCCCTCCCCGTCCCTTACTCGTCTTTTGACAGCCGTCATCCTGGATTTTTTTTCCGTATGCCGGGGAAAGTGTCTCACCTTTCTACATTCATTCTTAGAATGAATTTCCTCGAGTCTCACTTTCACATTTTTATTTTTTTTTAATTTTTGGAAGCCACTTTTTATTTTATTTTATTTATATATTGTTATTTTATTAATATTGCCAAATTTAATTAAGATGTGATTAAATTTTTTGTTTTTTATTTTAAATTTTGATTAAAATGTCATTTAAAGTCTAAAATTTAAAATTATATTAAAACCAATTCGATGATTAAAATGTCATTTAGCTGTGTTTCATCTTCATATGTTCTATAAAATAACGTTTAAATTTAATATAAACTAAATCGATAAAAATTTATTAAATTAATAAAAACATAAAAGTCAAGGTATAAATTACATGAAACCCACATGTTTTGTCATTTGTATCTCGAAATACATGGCTTTAAAAAAATACCCAAAATTTGGGATATGTGTAATTAGGATTTTGTTTGTTTTATAATTATTTTGTTTTAAATTATTGCATTACAAGAATATGTCCATCATGTTGTAGGTAATTTATGATCTATTTTCCAAATACTGAGAAAATTAAGATGATAGTCTTTTTCTTAAATTATGATTTATTAAATAAAAAAAACAAGGGGATATTGGTGGGAAGTGCAGGCTTACAACTAAATTCAAAAAAAAAAAAAATTTAACCAAAAACAAAGGGAAGTCGGCCGCCAATAAATTAAAAAAAAAAATAAAAAAAGAATAAAGGGCCCGTTAGAGACGGGGCTCCATTTATGCCACGTCGAGGAGAAGTAACAGCCAATAGCTGCGACTTTAGTGAAATCGCTGTCAATGACCGTGATTTCGACATTAATCGCAGGCAATAATGGCTGCGATTTGATCGTATATAAATCGCCTGCGATTACTCGCTGTGCCTATCCCCTGCGATTTATCTAACCTATTTTTGTAATTACTTTGAAACCTACCCTAATTTTATCATTTATTTTTAAAAGTAATTATTAAAAAAAAATCCCATTTTATACCAATTTACAGACTTCTGCCGGTAGCCATTATTCTTCATACACAATCCCTTTTCCTTCATATATATCTCTCTATTATATTTCTTAATTAACCACACCATTCTCTTTGGTGTACTTTTGTTGCCAATTTTTCCTACGTTTTAGTCCCTATTCTCGTGGTATTTTTCCAAATCAGGCTCTCATGACATAAAATATAAATTTAGAAGGAAAAAGTTTATTTAATAGGAGAAAACTTTAAATGTATAACAGTTAAGTTAAATAGAAATTTTTGAAACTTCCCTCTTTAATTAGATATAATTTTTTCCCCCTAAATTTTTGTCAATGTCATGTAACTTTTTATCATCAACCAAATTCCACATCCACCAATCGAGGGATGAAATTGAAAAATGTTAAAACACAAGTGACTAAATTGAAACTTTTAAATAATAAAAACAAATTATAAAAACACATCCATAAATTAATGACCAAAATATATATTTAGCAATATCTTAATTTAGTAGTCCATATGTTTTAGTTACATCATTAAAAGTTGTTATAAAAACACACCCTTAGTCTCTCATGATATAAACTGCTTTGTCAATTGACATTAAATTTAGAAGGAAAAAAATTATTTAAGAGAAGAAAACTTTAAATGTATACCTAATTAAATATAAATTGGAAAGATGAATGCGAAAACTTCCATATTTTAATTAGGTGAACTTCTTTCTCCTCTACTTTTTTTTCCCATTTACTAAAAGTATTATGTCATGTAAGATTATCATCAACCAAATTCTATATTCACCAATGATTAGGAGATAAAGTTGAAAAATGTTAAAACATAAAAGCACTAGATTATAAAAACACACTTGATAATGACTAAAATGTATATTTAGCCAAATCTTAATTTCATCCCTATGTTACTTTTAGTTAAATCTTTTAAAAATTTGTCTCTATCATACTACTAATTTCAATTTATAAATATATATTCACAATTTTCTTGTGTAACACATGTTTTTAGACTTAACAAATAGAAGAAAATTTAGCAAAGATCAAATTGAAATTTTTTAAGATGATAAAAGATCGAATTAAGATAAAGTATTAAATTTATAGGAATGAGAAATGGTAATTTAACCTGTTTTGAATTATACTACCTATTCATTTTATTAACAATGTTGATATGTTTTAATTTTTATTGTGCGATGAAGAGATAGGAGCAGTAGAAACAGCAGAAATAGCAGAGATTGGGATATGGAGGAAAATCAAAGATTTCATACCCAATGTACGTTCCTCTTTGACTTGTGGGTATGAACATTCTCTCAACTATAAACCTACACTCTGATGTCTTGGATTTTGAATGTTTTTTTATTTTGAGTTTTGTTCTATTACATTTAGTTTTATATGATTTATGTGTATGAATTGGATATCTCTTTTAATTTCCATCAAATTATAAATTTATTCATTCAACTTTCAAAAATCTCAATCATATATCATGTTGTTGAACTTTTGATTATGTTTCTATTTAGAGTTGAATGATGCCGACTATACTTAACTAATCAAATCAAGTTTTATAATTAATGTTATGTTTGAAGATAATATATATATATGAAACTAAATTTTATAATTTAGGGATGAATCTCTGCAGAGTCTTTTGCCCATATCCCTGGACGTATACATATATATTTTATTAGTTTATAAACTATCCAATGTTTTATTTTAATCTATACCTAAAAACCCATTATTCTGAGTTATTCTTAATTTTTCTCTAAACCATTAGACTAAACTTTCAAATATAACAGGTCTTTTGCCTCATCTACATATGATGTTTATTTGGATAATTTTTTTATGAAGCTATATATAGTGGGTAAAGTGTCAAGTTAAAAAATGTATTTAAGTTATTGTACATTTGATAGATAATATAAATTGCATTTCACTAATATTTATCTGAAACTTAACAGAAGAATTGCTTAGAGGTTGCTTGAAAATTTGAGACAAAGTCTGAGATCATTCTTTCAGGCAAGTCTTATTTTTATACTATAAAATTTTATGTGTGAAGTATGATTTTCAATGTTTATATTGCTATGTCATGCATCTTCGAAACAATCAAAGTAAGCTAGTTTAATAGTGATACATATTTGTTAGTGTTGCAATATATGATCATTGTATTGGTTTAATGTTATTAAACTTGCCCCATGAGAAATTATCATTTATTAGTTTACTTTATTACACATGGGTTATAATGTCTCGCATTCAAGAATTGTTTATTTGATATATAAATTCTTTCCTCATTTGTTATATTTAAGATGCTTTCAAAGTCTAATGTACAAATATGGCTCGAGTATCATGTTATTGATGTTGATAGTTTTTATTCATGAGAAACTCTTTTTTACTTCTCAGAGGACAAATTCTTTGAATGATAGATTATATCTCCTGTTGTTCATGACTACTTAGGTAAGGTTGTGTTAGCTAATAATCTTATATCCATATAATCGATAGGATAGGAACTAAACATATAATTGAAAACTCAGAGAATTAAAATCAATATTTTAAGTGTCAAAGGATCAATGTGAATTAAAGCTAAGTAAAATAATTTGAAGGAAAAAAAGAGACCTAAATAGAAATTATAAGAGATATATTAAAGTTGAGGGGTAATTATTTTAAACCTCTAGAGATTGAGAAACCAAAATTAAAAATTAATTATGAAGCTGCATTTTTATGTTGAATTAAATCAGTCTTATTCCATGGGATGGTTTGAGAAATTTCTTTATCAGGTGCTAACATACTCATGAAAGCAGTGGGAAAAGATTGTACATATTTATTCAGTATCCTTGAAATTCTGTTGTGAAAAAAGTGAATTCTACATCTGATTAATTTTACATGCAAATTTCATCGATCATCTATCCAATAGATTTCTAATTGGTGCCAAAAATTTATCCTTAAACAACATTTAGATAAATACCAGGTTGGGGTGATGAATGCTGAATTTTTGCTGTTGGCACTTTGGATGATAGTCACTGAAGAGCAGCAGCATGATATCGACAAGCGTGAAGATGTCCTTATTTTGGGACATAGGAACCTTAATTTCATCTATGATTGTTGTATGTTTATTGTTGTATAACATAACATGTAGTTTTCACCATGTCTATTTGTTATCTGAATGTATCATCTTCATATTTTAAAGAATATTAATTCTGGAATCATCATAATACTACGTAAATATTACAGGGGAGTATTACATGTCTAGAGATTGGGAATCTAACTCTGTTCTTCTTCTTTGGGTATCCCACACATGTCCTTGCCTATTAAATGCTTCAATCTGATGAGTTTACCTGAATGGATTGGCACCCTCACTTCGTTTAAGGAGCTGGTGATTATTCAATGTCCGAAATTAAAATCAGTACCAGAGGGAATGCAGCAACTTAGATCTTTCAAATACCTTCACATAAAGGGGTGCCCAGAACTGGAAGAAAGATTCAAGCATGGAGTAAAGGATTGGCCTAAGATTGCGCACATCCCCCATATATACTAACACTGCACAGACTTTGTACAGGTTTTCTTCACACAATCCCTTTTCCTTCATATCTTTGTTATATATGTTAATTTTGTGTGAATCTGAATATGTTGCTAATTTCTACCATTTTGTTTGTTTCATGTGTGATTCCTCCAAGCTTGGGAAGAGTACACCTATTCCATCTGGAAAAGGATCCATAAAAAAGCAACATAATTTTAGGGTCATGTCAGGAAGCTCCATGGAAACAGCAGCTAATGTTGTTCCCAGTTTGAACTATGAGCAGAACGACAAACGTGTAATATGGAGCCACAACTATGAAGGTGTTATAGAACGAGAACCGGTGTTTCCACAAGGTGGTTCGTGTAGCAAGTGATTTATCTAGAAGTACTGGATAGAGTCGGGCTCCCATTCCCAGCCGGGAGTAGATGAGTTGCATGACTATTTTAGGCAAGATATAAGAAGTGACACTTTGTTCGAGGGAAGGATTGTTGGGATTGCAAGATATGCAGACAAAGTCCCATATTGGCAAGAGACGGGGTGATCCATTATAAGAGAGAACAATTATCTCTATTGGTATGTGACATTTTGGGTGAAGTCAAAAGTAAAGCCGTGAGGGCTATCCTTAAAGCGGACAATATCATACTATTATAGAGATACTTGGGGTATGAGGGATACCGCTGTCCTCGACAAACTGCACGTAAATTATCATAAGGAGCCTTTTTCAAAGAACTGGACATTATTGTTAGAATAAAATATATGTAGAAGCCAAAATGTTCCTAGTAGGAGGGAAGCAGAAGATTCAAAGCCAACTTCAATTATTTTTCCCTCTTCTAATCTTTTGAATGTATGATTGTTATTTGATTGAGCCCTGAATGGACATGGATGGCAACAAGCAAAGCTGCTATGATATAGTTGTAGAAGAAAGTGAAATTTGAACAATCACTATGAATATACTCTTGTTCTATATTAATCTTTAAACTCTGTTTCAGGCATCAAAAACTGAAACAAAAGCTGCCATCTTGATGCTGATCACCAGCTGAACTGCTACATGGTAAAAGGTAATTGACTCTAGAATGCTTAGACATGATATTATATTTATGCTATTCTCGCCTATGCTTTTCTAAGCAAAATATGACTACTTATCACACAAGTGAAAGACTAGTACACAAGCATAATTTAACGGTAAATAACATCTTCTCTTGAGGTTAAAAGTTTAAATCTTCCATACCATACCTCACATTTATTGTACTAAAAAAAATTCAAATACCTGTTTTAGTTTCTATATTTTCAACCTTGGTTCACTTTAGACCTTGTACTCTTTAAAAACGTTCACATTTTGGTCTCTATCCATCCTAATTTTATTCAATTTAGTCTCTATACCTTTAGAAAGTCCATTTTGATGCATGTATTTTTTCAAGTGACCATTTTGGTCTCTTCATTTTCATTTTTATCTTATTTCTTTCCATCATAATTTTAACACGATACTTCTTTCACTAAATTTCTTGAAATATAGTCATAAATTTGTATTAAAGAGTTTCCACATGTATAAAATTTGTGCCAAAACTTTTACAAATAAAGACTAAATTGGTCACTTTATAGTATTATATGGAGTGGTTCTTGCATCAAATGTTTTTTTTTTTTTTTTGAATAATGATAGGTGAGAGTTGTAAGAGTACACCATATTGGAGATTTAGGACTACTTCACCCTTTGAGAAATTTCTTTATAAGGTGCCGATATACTCATGAAAGCAGAGGGAAAAGATTGCACTTCTCTATTCAGTATCCTACCAATTTTGTTTGGCTTTTAGTTAAAAAGTGGATATCTCTTCCCTCCATGGAATCCTACATACACCGTTTGCTAATTTTTGGTGCAAAATTCATCTATTTATCTAACGAGTTTCAAATTGGTGCCAAAAATAGATTCAGACTGTAATTATCTAGAATTTAATATCTTACGAATTTCATTACATCTGATAGCTTTATTTTGTGTTGCAAAATATTAATTATATATTGATTTCATGAGAGTGAGTAATTTTATGTGATTAATTTTCAACATCTGTTTTGATAATTATAGACGTTAGGATTATAATGAGAGTCAAATAAAAGTCTTTTATCCCTATGAAAGTTAAACAACCATTAGATTGAGGTTCCTTGGTCACTAGGACCATTTCTAATATAAGATTCACGTAAGGCACAGTCCACATGGCACCAGTGAAGACAAACATCACAGCCAACCCAACTACATGTATTA